ATGGCCAGCAAGAACTGAAGTATTGACAGAGCATGATTCTTCCCCATTTACAGAGGACATCATCGCCCACCCCGGTCAGCCTCTCATAACAGTCCAGCTGATTAGGACCATTCCTAATTTCTTAATCCTAATACTCTTCCTATTTGCTGTCCCAGACTCCAAAAACAACCAGGCTCCCGTAACATGCTATCCTTTGCCGGCCCAATTCCTACTTCCTGAACCTGAGAAACAAATTGATTTGGAAAGCAGTGGAGACTACTATTATTATCACCTCTTTGAGGCTTAAAGAAATCAACTCAGTGGCAGTCACACAGCTAGCAGAAAGCAGAGCTTGGATTTAGAACTAGGACTGTTGGCTCTAATTCTGAGTCCTTCCTTCTAGGATGTGGCTCTGGGGTGGGGTAGGGAGAATACCTTTCTGTCATCACAGAATTAAAGGCTCTGCACTGGGCAGAGGGTAGGATTAGGTAATCTCTTAAGATTACCCTGTAATTAAGAGTTCATGAATTTATGAAATCAGGTCTGTTTAGAAAAAGTGACTACATAAAGTGCAGACGCACACTGGCCAGAACAGAAGCTCTGCCATTGCTGTGATGCATCTCAAAAGCACCTCTTTCATAAGAGCAGGGAAAGTCACTAGACAGAATAAAGCCTTGTGGAGGCACCATGGTGACTATGGAGGCACAGGATGAATATGGTCATTCACACATTCATTCATTGTCCATTCAGCAAATACTCCAGAAGACATTCTGTGTGATAGGCATCAGGCCAGGAAGTAGGCTACAAAAACAGAGAGAAGAAGCTCGACCTTGCCCTTGGGGGAAACGTGATCCAGTGGCAGACACACACATGAGCAGATGACACAGGATATATGGTAAGTTCTGTGATGGAGACACACACAGTGAGCATCTTACCCAGCCTGGGAGGTACTGAAAGGTTTCCTGGAGCAGTCCCCTGAGCAGTCTTGAAGGATGAGTTAGCCAGGTGAGAAGCAGGAGAAGGGCATTCTGGGCAGGCGGGACAGCGTGGGGAAGGTATGGAGGTGAGAAGCAGCATGGCGCACTGAGAGAACAACAAGCTTCTGCAGGCCACCAGGAGCCCACGGATGGTTGGAAGCAGGGTGTGACATGGTCGGATTTGCAAGTCTAAAGATCCCTCCAGCAGCTTAAGCCAGTAGCAGTGGCAGTAATTTATTCCTCTCAGCCTCTGAAATTCCCTTGGCCTCAGATAAGATGTCTGGGGCCATCTGTTGAGATAGTTATATACAATGCCAAGTTAACAAGTGAAGGGCGGCCACTTACATGAGGACAGAGGGCAGAAACTCAAGCTCAATTTCACTGTTTGAAATAAAAAACACAAAAAGATGGCCTGTCATCCGACACTCCAGGTATCGGATGACAATTTTCTTTTGGTATCTCTAGTATCAAGTGTATTTCTGGTGAATGAAAAATCTCTGTTCTGTAGTTAACCATGCATTTCAGTCATCTAATCAGTTAAGGAAAAACACTGTGTATTTGACTGTGACAATGATCAGTCCAGTCAAGATGTTTGAGTCAGTGGTGTGTGAAGACCTGATCCAATTCTTATTTTCCCTCAGTTTGTGTCTAAACTCGGGGATTTGAAGAGGGTGCTGGGTGCTGGGCAAGCCAGCTGGAGGGCGAATGGCCCAACCAGAGTGTGGTCCTGGAGGGTTGAGGTGCAGTTTTCACTGAGTGCCACTTGTCTGAAACCTGACTCACCTCAGGCCAGCCCAGCCTCCTTCAGAAGAGGGCAGAAAAAGCCCGGGCTGTGGAAGGGAAGACCTAGCCCCTGGTGCTTCCTTTCCTTTGAGCTTCACTTTTCCATCTGTTACCTGGGGAAAACCTTTGCTCCACAGCATTGGTGGGGCAAGGTCGGAGTGGGGGTGTGGGGTGCTCAATGAAACAACAGAAAGAAATGCTTTGTAAGCAATCAAGAGATGAAAAATTTTAGAACATTATTCAGTCTGTGGGCTCACGGTAATGCAATAGCTGGAAAGCTTTAGAAGTGTTCTTTCGAGTGTGTACCATGCACAGCTAGCTCATATGTATTGCTTCTCTATTGGCAAGAAATGGAACTCGTGCCTTCCAAGTACTATCAAGGGAGGGGAAGGGCCTGAAATACCGTGTTTAGTGTCCACTCTATGTCCTACCACCCTCGTGTCATGTCCTTCCCACTCTGCTCCCCTGAGCCGAGTACTAGTGCCTCCATTTCCAGAGGAGGACACCAAAGCTCAAAGAGGGTGGTGAAAAGCGCAGTGTTGCACAACGCACAGATTCCATCCATCAACAGGGTGACGCCTAAGGACACTGCCATCATCCACCAGAAGCCACACAGTTTAGTATTAAAGCGTGCAAGCGTGCTGGCCTTAGCTCTCCCTGTTATGGGTGTTCTAGGATGGACTGGGTGTCGCCAGGAAGCGTGTGCTCAATGGTGGGTGGTGCCTGCCTGGTTCTGCAGGTACCGTGCAGGAGAGTCTATCGTCCTGCCTTTGAAAGAGCTGACTCTCCTGACCCGTGTCCTCCGAGACCAGTGTCTCAGCAGTGCCAGCCTCAGTGGGGCTGGGGTGGAGCCTTGCTTCAACTGTGTTGGTCCCTAGGCTACCTCCTGAGAACATGAACTGCTGTACAACATCCAAGCAGTTAAGAGGACCTTGTGACCACGATGGCATGCTAAGGGTGTCCATAGCCCTTGTGACATGGGACCTGACACAGCTGCCCAAACCTGTGAGACACAGGTTATAAAATCTTAAACCCCGGTGAAAATAGAAAAAGAGGGAAGAATTTCACTAAGAATGTACAAACTTTCAGGAAGAGTTGAAATATGCTCATAACTAATTTAGCAAAAACAATGATCAATTTTAGGGCTTGATTCTCAGCACCACATAAAAATAAAATAAAGATGTTGAGTCCACCTAAAAAAAAAACAAAAAACTAGATGGAGGCTGGGGCTGTGGCTCAGTGGTAGAGCGCTTGCCTGGCACATGTGAGATGCTGGGTTCCAGCCTCAGCACCACATAAAAATAAATAAATAACATAAAGGTATTGTGTCCATCTACAACTAAAAATATAAAAAAACAAAAACAAGACTGCTGGTTTCAGTTGCTTGTTTTCTGCTTTAGGAAGGCAACTTGAGCAGCAGGTTGGGCTCCGGGCAGCTGCGAGAGCACGGGGTGGGGTGGGGAGTGGGGTGGGGGGCTGCAGGTGTGAGGTGGAGCCCTGCTCACCAGGCAACCCAGGGAAGCCGGCCAGACCTCTGCCTCCTGCCTTCCCTGTTGCCCAGGTCTTGCCCTCCCTGGGTTCTGAGTGTATCTCCCTTCTCTTATTCTTCAGGTTCGTTTCGGTGTCTTATTTGTGTGTTTCTGTGTCTTTTTTTCTGCCTCTCTTCCTACCTCTCTGCTTCTCTCCTGTCTTCCTTACCATCTCTCTCAATCCCTACTTTGTCTTTCCCCATTAACTGATCTAAAGAGATCTGACTAGTATGTATTTGTTTCATGTATTGAACCGTTTTTGTGTTTTCTGCATCATACAGAAGTGGACAGGTGAATGGAATTTTTCTAATCATCTGGAAAACAAATATATAATGGGTTTTTAAAAATTATTACCCTTGATTGATTCTTACCACTGCCTCTCCACCCCCACCCCCACCCCCCAAAAAACCCTTAGAAATCAGGGCCAGCAATAGAATAAAAGTCCCACCCTAGGGCTCCTAGCCTAGAGCCGGAGAGGACCTGTGGCAGTTGCCAATGCAGGGGGAGGGGGGATAAGCATGGCGGTGGAGCATGCGGGGTGTGGGCACCACCTGGGCGGGTGAAATGGAGATCCCAGTCAGCAGCCACTGTCTCATGGCACCAGGCCTTTCCGCCACTGAACTCTGCCACTCTCCAGCCTTTGCCCTTTCCCTCCCAAATGAACTACCCCCATCCCAACCGAACCTGAGCTCCCCCCCAGGGGGTTGTGACCCCTCCACACATTTGCTCATAGAGACCCCTCTGCCTGGCATGCCTCGGCCACCCCGGCTCTGTTCACCTGGTCAACACCTACCCATCTGCTGAAGTCCTTCCTGATCCACAGAACCAGCTAGAACGGATTCCTCCTTCATGCCCCACTGTGATCAGAGGCAGAGTCTCAGTCATCCTGCTTCCCTAGTGCCCAGCACGGAGCCTGGCACACACAAGGTATCCAATCAATACATGTTGAAAATGAAGAGAATGAAGTCTTTTGCCTCCCACTTTACCAGAAGGATAACAAAGTGGGAAAACTTGGCCCTAGCACTGAGGTTCTCCCCTGGTCCCCCACCCACCTTCCTACCCCCAGACCTGCTCACCTGCATACTCTGCATCCTCTGCACCCCATATCCCACCACCCTCAAGGCACCCTCTGCCACAAAGCCTTCCACGACTCCCAACCCCCAGAGGAAGAAAGCTGTCCTTCATCTGAGCTCCCAACTACCTGATCTGTCGTGACCTCTTTTGGGCCTCTCTAGTGGCTTTTTGGCACCCCCACGATAGGCATACACGATTGCAGTCCCCATGCCCACATGGAAAGCCGCCCCTGGAGGTGAACCCTCTAGAATGACCATAGATTAAATGAGCAAGTGAAGACAAGCCTGCCATCCCTTGCAAGGAGAAAGGCCAGAACCAGCACTGCTCCTAGTTCCTCACAGGGAGGGCTGCAGTCGGAGCCCAGCCTCCCAGCACAGCAAGGCCGTGCGGGGCGCAGGGGTCACCCATCCGGAGACAGGGGATCAAAACATTACGCTACCTTTTTGGCCAGTGCGTCTCCCGGTCCATCTTCACCTTTCCCAACACTTAGTCTGACTGCTTGCAATTAGTATCTGAGGCAATCTAAAAGAGTCAAGCTGCATTATGGAGTCGCCCAGGACAAATGCAGGGTACAGCTCGTGGAGAGGGGCTCAAATGCCCAAAGTTGCTTCCTTCACCTACTCAGCTGGGCCTCACCAAGGAAATAAGATCAAGAAAGTGGTGTTCGTCTTTAGCATTTATTTATAATTGGAAAAGCTGTTCGGTTGTCTGTTTTCTGAGCAAGCACAGACCACAAGCACGTCACAATCAATTGGCTATACATGAATATTTTTGTCATTCTCTTACTAACAGCGGGAATGAAATAGCACCAAGAGAGGTGTGCGCTACACGTTACATAGACAATCTGTGGTATGCAACAAAACCCAGGCCACAAAATCGCAATTAGACACTTCCTGTCTGCCTCAGTGAGGCACAGCTATATGGACTGGTCGGGATCCTGGGCAGAGAAGACAGAGCTGGGAAAGCCAGCGCATAGCTCTGCGGGGATTTCTGCAGGCGGGCCAAGCAGGCAAGGGCCGAGTCTGTGTCCCAGCCCTCTTGCTAGGGGTAGGAGCAGCAACCACAGAGAAATGTATGCAAATGAGCAGGACAGGCATTGGAAGCTCCGTCACCTCCAGAAAGGCAACACCAAACACTGCTTGAGGAACCAAGATCAGTTTCGTTCAGTATGTTCAGGATACAGAACGAGACTGGCTGAGTTTTATTTGTAAACAGTAGAAATCAAAGGAAATTTCTTGCCAGGAAAGTGACACATTCAAGAGTCAAAGTGAACCACAGAGTTTTCTCAGGTGGGTGTGTGACAAAGAAGGGGGCACTGACAGGTTGAAAAGGAGATTATACTGTCATCTAAAGCCTTGGGCAGGGCAGGGTAGGAGTTGCAGTCCCTGGGGCTGCAAAGTGGTTGCAAAAGCCTGTGAGGCCCTTGAAGCAAACCCTGACTTGGGCAACACCAACTTGGCTCAGCCACTCTACATAGGGGACCATCAGGTGCATTCTTCTGGCTGTGCTGCTGTGGAGACAGATTTATTTATACTGCCTACCGAGTCTAGCACAGTGCTGACACAAGGCATTCCGTATGTGAGTGACCCCTGAATGATCCCCTGTGCGTCCTAAACTCTGATTCACTGGATCTGCAAAATGCTCCGTGGAGAAATCCTAGCTGTAGCTAGCATCCACGTGTCTGGCTAAGGCTGAAATCTTAAGAGAATGACCAGACATCTGCAAATTCTCTGTTAGAGTTCCCTGGTAAGTTTTATGATTAGCTAACAAGTTGCCGGAAACAGTACTGAGATCTATGCCAGTCACTTCCGTATAGGCATTTAAAATTTGTGATTCATAAGTGCTGGGACTCACCAGCATTTCCTGCCTTCGGCACTTCTCCTTCACAGGCCACGCCCTGAGGGAAAGGAAGGTGGCAGTGGCCTGAACAGACTCTTCTTTCTGGTTTTCCTATTTTATTAAAACTAGGCCTGTGTAGCACATGCTGTTTTAGTTTGCAAAGACCTTCTCAACCAGCCCCGCAACAAACAAAATAGAACACAGACACTTTGCTGCCTGGGCAGTGAGAATAAGAGAGCCTGGGAGCTCTGCTGCTTCTAACCTGGGAGAACCCGGAGGGGCTTCTGAGGTATGGAGCTGGGAGACCTCCACTCTTCTCCTCCAAGACAAAAAGAAGGCACCCGGGCAGAGGCTGGGTGTTGGCCACAGCCCAGCCATTCAGAATGCTGGGGAAGATGGCCTTCAAGGACAGGAGAAATCAAGTGTGCTGAGCAATCCACACCTCACATTTGCAAATATATTCTTTCTGGTAGACACTTGGGGTTCCCTCCTAAGCACTCGGGATCTTTCACAATGACTCCCTAATTCCTACAACACAACTCTAGCACAGCTATGGTGGCACTCACCTCCCCCGGGGCTTTGGCCACACAGATACACATCACAGAATACATTGAGAGCTGCTTTTTAAAATTTCTATCAATGAGGTCAAAAAGACCTGACAGTTATTTCACAGGGTCCTCTCCTAGCCTGCGGCTGTGTCATAGAAACACCTGACCTGAAGCTCGGCACTGGCACCGCTGGCCTCTGTGGAGCAGAGCGAGACCCTTCAGCGAGGGAGGGTCAGCACCGCCATGCTTGCCGCGGCGGCAGCTCAGGAACAGAAAGCACGCACTAAGTCCTCTCTCCCTCCACCTGGACCCTTCGTCCTTAGTCGCCCTCGACCTGTCACTCTGCAACGCTGGCAGCCTGCCGAGGACAAATGGGAAGGCAGTCTCCTACAGCTGTGGCCTTCCTATGACACCTACAACACCTACAACACCCACCCTTTACCACCGCTGGCCTGGTCTCGGTCACCAGGTGCCTATCTATCACTTGGTGTACAACTTAAAGCCCACCAGTAGGAAACAAAACACAGGCACACACTTCTAACAGAAGATTCTAGAAGATTAAAGTTAACAGACAACTCCATTCCATTGACATTAAGGCCAAGGAGGTTGCTTTTTCCTTCGTTTTGTTTCTAACATTTCCACAAATGTTGTCAATCGTGAAGCATAAGCTGAGCTTCTATAGCACATGATCACCCTCTAAACTTTGGAAAAGAAACTCCATCTAAAGTTCAAAATCAACCAGCTGACACAGAGCTTGGGAGGAGCAGGAGGAAGAGACCCTACAGCAGACATTTCCAAGCACCCCCCCAGGAGGTGGGCTTGGAGCTGGCTGAGTACGGTCCCCAGGGGGAGGCACGGCCAGTGCACAAGGCTTCCTGGTGTCCCAGGGTCCCGAGGCTGACATAGGCCACCCTCAGGAGGAGGAGTGGCCCTGTGTGTGAACCAGGGCTCCTCCACTAAAAGAACAAAACCAAAGCGTTCCTGGAACACTCAGGACCAAGGCAGAGGGGAAGTCTCTAATTAATTTTGTGGCCTTTTTGTTTGTTGGTTTAAAAA